AGTGTGTGACTCTGTGTGCGTGTGCGTGTGCGTGTGCGTGTACTTCTGCGTGTGGTGCGCGTGCGCGTGCGCGTGCGCGTGCGCGTGCGCGTGCGTGTGCGTGCGCGCGCGTGCGTGCGCGTGCGTGCGTGCGCGCGCGTGCGTGCATGCGTGAGTGCGTGCGCGCGCGCGCGCGGGCGGGCGGGCGGGCGGGCGGGCGGGCGGGCGGGCATGCTTGCGTGCGTGCGTGCGTGCGTGCGCTTGTGGTTGTGTATTCTTGCGCACGCAGGTGGTTTTATGAGGCAGACAGGCTTTCACGTATACAGGCGCGCAGACACCTCTCGAGTAGCTACATTCGACGTATCAATTCGCAAACACAGGCGCAGGTGGACATGTGTGCCAGCGTTGGGATCCAACAGTGGATATTCTTGGACGCGTATTACATGAGGCGCTACACACGTTGCAACATCTACGTCGAGCTGCCTGTGATCCCAGCTACGTGGTGCAGTTATGTGTGTGCCCAGTTGTAAACACATGTGTGGTGCAAGCTACGTTGTTCATACTACGAGGTGCAACTCGCAAACCTTCATCCGCCCGTCACCGCCTCTAATGCTCGTGCAAATTCCGCAACTACCGACCTGCAAATTGTTGGCAGAACTCATCCGGGTGGCGACATTGACGCTGACGATGGCGATAGTGATGTTCCTGGCTACAGTGGGGGCGATGTCGATGACAACCATGGTGATGGTGATGGAACGAATGGTGATAATGGCGGTGAGAAAAATGACGATGCCGATGCTGATGCTGAGAATGGTGCTGGTGGCAATGATGAGGAGGTGCGCGCGCGAGGAAATCTGACGACGGCGTCGACATCGACGCCCGCGTCAGATGATGCCGATGGCTTCAATGATGATGACGACGATGATGATGATGGCAAGGGCAATTGCTGTGATGATAACCAATGCTGTGGTGAGGACGCTGACGAAGTGCGCGCCCGCAGAAGTTCCCAATCCGTCCGCATTCCAATCGGAAAACCACTTGGTGTTCGCATGTGGTTGAATACCATTGCACTGCAATGATGGGAAAGCCACTTGTCTTGAAAGGATGGGGACATGCGTGTGTGTGTGTGTGTGCTGATCATTTGCCAACGTGTCCCGTAGCACTGCCCGCCGATTGGATTATTTGGCTGGTCGGAGAAATGTGTGCGCATGTGTGTGCGTGTGTGTGAGTGTGTGAGTATGTGTGTGTGTGCGTGCATGCGTGCTTCCGTGCGCGTGTGTGTGTGTGTGTGTTGTGTGTGCGTGCGTGCGTGCTTGTGCGTGTGCGTGTGCGTGTGCGTGTGTGGGTGTGGGTGTGGGTGCGGGTGCGGGTGCGGGTGCGGGTGCGGGTGTGGGTGTGGGTGTCCGTGCGTGTGTGTGTGTGTGTGTGTGGGTGTGTGTGGGTGTGTGAGTGTGTGTGTGTGTGTGCGTGCGTGTGTTATGTTTGCGCGTTTGATTGTTGTTGTCGTTGTGTGTGTCTGTCTGTGTGTATGTCTGCCTCTGACCGTACGTCTCGGTGTGTGTGTGTGAATGTGTGTGTGTGTGTGTGCACGCGCGCGCGTGCTTGTGTATGGGTTTCTGCGCGTGTGTGTGCTTGTGCGCGTGTATCTCATGACTGCGGCCGTGCAATCCCCTGATTTGCACGACCCCCCATTTCTCTCCCAGCACACCCCACGCGTCCACACGACTCCGCAGAATCAAGGCCCACGCTCAATGAGCACATCCACAAGTAGTCCCACATTATCCTGCCCAGCGTCCCCCTAAATCTGCACGACCCCCCGTCTCTCTTCCAGCACAGCCCCTGTCCCCCCCCCCCTCCTCGGCATCGCTCGGACGTGTGCATTTTTCCTTCGGCGAGGACCATCGAGGAGCATCCTTGATCATCTGGCGAAAAAGCCACGCACGAAACCGAAAATTATCCTGGCGAAGGACCCAACCATATGCAGTTGTGAGTATCGCAATTGTGAGTATCTTCTTCGGTGGCGCTCCCTATGGGGCCACGAACCGCATGAGGGGTGTGCCGAAATGTGGCGGGGTACACAACGCAAAGGAATACGATAGATCTGATTACGAAAGAAAGAACGCGGGTGAGTCAGAGCGCGAGGGAATCTGAGTATGAATGGGTCTGCGCGCGAATGAATATATTTGCATGAATGCGATCATGGAAACGCCTAGTGTAAGTGTATATGAATGTGAATGGTTCGAGCATGCCTGTCCGAACACACGTGACACTGGGCGTGGCCGCCGCAGGCAGCTTCCGCGGGAACCCCGACGGCAGCGTCCGCACGTCGCGACGCCCATGTCGGCACGCCTCTTGCGAGGATCGCGCCCGCTTTCGGCTCTTCTGTTCCTTCCTCTTTGCCCGCGCACTCCAAAATCCAAGGCTGCGGGCGCAGCGCAGCGCGGAGTCCCCGCGACGCGCGCTGGTCGCCCCGGGCGGGGTCCCAGCGACGCGCGCGGGTCGTCCGCTGCGCGAAGCAGAGAGAGCTGACTAGCTAACTGGCTGGCTGATAGCGGGCAAGTCTCTGACCGCTGGGCAGAGCGACGACGGGCGAACGAGGCGCCGGGCCCCCCGCAGCACGGAGTTCCCGCGACGCGCGCTGGTCGCCCCGAGAGGGTCCCAGCGACGCGCGCGGGTCGTCCGCGGCGCGAGGCCAAACAATTAGTCGGGCAGTCGAGAGAAGGCGCAGCTCGGGGGAGACGCTCCTCAGGTCAGGCCTCGCGGATGAACTCGGTGAAGCCGAGCTCCCTGGCGAGGGCCGTCGCTTCCCTCCTGCACCGCTTCGTGCGCGCCGCAAACTGCTCCAGCTGCTTCCGCAAGCCCTGCGGCGGCCCTGCCAGGAAGAACTCGATGCGCGGCGCCCGCATGAGCAGGAGGTCCTCGTGGCGCGTGGCGCGCGAGAGCAGCACGTAGAGCTCCAGCCACCAGTCGTCGTCCTCCTTCTTGCCGTTCCCTACCTCGTGGCGGCCGCAATCCAGGATCACGCCTGGGCGACGTCGACCGAGGGAGCAGCGCGCCGGGCAGCCGACGGCCCAGGGCGAGAGTCCACAGGACCGAGAGATGGTCTGGCCGCGGACTGCTCGCGCCCGGAGGTCTGGCCGCCCCCGGAGCGCCGTTTCTCCGCCCCGTCGCCTTCGCGCATGGTGCGCCCCTGGCACGCCACCGTGGTGATGACCCTGCCGTGCGAGAAATGCGGGGGGGGGCCGAAATGGGTGGGGGTGACGCATGCGGGCGGCGGCACTGAGGCCTTCGGTGGAGCTCCCTATGGAGCCACGAAACGTGTGAGGGGTGTGCCGAAATGGGTGTGGGTGACGCATGCGGCCGCGGGCACTGGGGCCTTCGGTGGAGTTCCCTATGGAGCCTCGAAACGTGTGAGGGGTGTGCCGAAATGGGTGTGGGTGACGCATGCGGCCGCGGCCACTGGGGCCTGCGGTGGAGCTCCCTATGGAGCCACGAAACGTGTGAGGGGTGTGCCGAAATGGGTGTGGGTGACGCATGCGGCCGCGGCCACTGGGGCCTTCGGTGGAGCTCCCTATGGAGCCCCGAAACGTGTGAGGGGTGTGCCGAAATGGGTGTGGGTGACGCATGCGGCCGCGGGCACTGGGGCCTTCGGTGGAGCTCCCTATGGAGCCC